ATATGCAAAGAATCACTTTCTAAGTCGATGTATGCATGTCCGTCCGTCAGTCTGTCCATGTTAAATTGTGAACAAAGTATAGGTCGCATTTATGATCCGATTTGGATGAAATTTGGCATAAGTCACTTATTCGGCCCAAGGACGAACCCTATTGAAATTGGGAAAAATCGGTTCAGATTTAGATATAGCTCCCATATATATTTGTCCGATTTAATGTAAACGGTCCCTATATATCTTTAGGTCTAGAATGATGTGTGTTAAGTTTCCTGAAAATCGGTTCAGATTTAGATATTGCTCCCATATATATTTTCGTCCGATTTAATGTGAATGGTGCACAAAAGTCCCTATATATCATTCGATTTGCACGAAATTTGGCACATCGTAATGAATTAGGTCTAGAATAATGTGTGTTAAGTTTCTTGAAAATCGATTCAGATTTGGATATAGCTCCCACATATATTTTCGTCCGATTTAAGGCAAATGGTGCAACAAAGTCCCTATATATCTTTCGATTTGCACGAAATTTGGAAAAGCGTAATGAATTATGTCTAGAATGATGTGTGTCAAGTTTCTTGAAAATCGGTTCAGATTTGGATATAGCTCCCATATAAATTTTGGTCCGATTAAAGGTAAATGATGCACCAAAGTCCCTATATATCTTTCGATCTGCACAAAATTTGGCACAGCGTACTGAATTAAGCCTACAATGATGTGTGTTAAGTTTCGTGGAAATCGGTTCAGATTTAGATATAGATCCAATATATATTTTCCTCCGATTTAATGTAAATGGTATACCAAAGTCCACATATATCTTTCGATTTGCACGAAATTTTGCATGGGGTAATGAATTAGGTCTAGAATGATGTGTGTTAAGTTTCGCGAAAATCGGTTCAGATTTGGCTATAGCTCTTATATATTGTTTTGTCCGATTCAGATTTAGATAAAGCTTGTACATATATATTTTCGTCAGATTTTACACAAAATTGACACAAAATTGTGCAGATCGTACTGATGTTAGTATAACCTAGAAGAAGGATATAAATTCTACACCAAACTCCCCAGGTTCGTAAAAGGTGCACAAAAGACCCAAAGTTAGGTCGTTTGCTACAAAATTTTGCAAAACGTACTGAAATTTATATTGCCCAACGTTTACAAAATTTTGTAGGAATCGTTTCCGATTTAGATATAGCTCCCATATATAGTTTCGTCCGATTTTAGTTAAATGGTACACCAAAGCACCAAAACCCAGCGTATATTTTCTACCGATTTTAAGTAAATGAACTCGAAATGTGGCTGATATGCACAAAACATACTGAAATTTTTATAACCTAACCTGTGACAACTTTCGATCAAATCAATTAATATTTCGATATAGCTTTTATATATATTTTCGTCCGATTATAAGTAAATGGTACAACAAATTTCTCAGATATTTCAGATATTTAACCAAATAATCAACGGGTGTCCGATTGATATTTGCTTTCAATTGATGTACAATGTTAGGATTCATCTGTTGAATATACCCAAAGTGGTGAAGGGTATCATATAGTCGGCCCCGTCCGACTTTACTACTTTCCTTACTGTTTTTTTTTTGTTGGTATCGTTGTTCACCCCTTACTTGGTGGTCCTTGTTTTTGCAACCGTTCATTTGACTACTTTTTCTGTTGCCAATAATCGCCAACATTGTACTCATCCGATTGTGACTAGTTTTGCATTCCATTGTTTCTTTATTTCAGACACTCTTACCGATCTCTGTATTGGTGTTGCAAAATTCATATATGTATTTTCCAAAAGATTTCGATATAAATGCTAAATAAAATATATCAGATAAGTGTTGAAACGAATGACAACCCAACCAAATGTTTAACATTGTGTATGATTATTCTAATGACGCAGATGAACATGAACATGTAAGTAATTAGGGAGAAACTAGAAAACACAAAATCAAAATAGAACAATTAAAGCGACAAAGAGTTTTTTTGTGTCATAGGAACCCGCCACAAAACACACTCTCCAAATGTGTTTATACCCTTCACCACACTGTGGTACAGGGTATTATGTCTTTGTGCATATGTTTGTAACAGGCAAAAATAATCGAGATAGACCCATGGTTCCTTTTAAGAATCTACATAGAATCACTTTCTAAGTCGATTTATGCATATCCGTCCGTCCGTCTGTCCGTCTGTCCATGTTAAATTGTGAACAAAGTACAGGTCGCATTTATGATCCGAATTGGATGAAATTTGGCATAGGTCACTTATTCGGCCCAAGGACGAACCCTATTGAAATTGGGAAAAATCGGATCAGATTTAGATATAGCTCCCATATATATTTAACCGATTTAATGTAAACGGTCCCTATATATCTTTCGATTTGCACGAAATTTGGTACAGCCTAATTATTTAGGTCTAGAATGATGTCTGCCAAGTTTCGTAAAAATCGGTCCAGGTTTAGATATAGCTCCCATATATAGTTTGGTCCGATTTTATGTAAATGGTGCCCCAAAGTCCCTATATATATTACGATTTGCACGAAATTTGGCATAACGTACTGAATTGAGCCTAGAACGATGTCCGCCAACTTTCGAGAAAATCGGTCCAGATTTAGATATAGCTCCCATATATAGATTCGTCCGATCACAGGTAAATGGTGCACCAAAGTCCCTATATATCCTTCGATTTGCACGAAATTTGGCAGAACGTACTGAATTGAGCCTAGAATGATTTCTGAAAAGTTTCATGAAAATCGGTCATGATTTAGATATATCTCCCATATATAGTTTCGTCCGATTTCATGTAAATGGTGCACCAAAGTCCCTATATATCTTTCGATTTGCACGAAATTTGATACAGCCTAATCATTTAGGTCTAGAATGATGTCTGCCAAGTTTCGAGAAAATCTGTCCGGATTTAGATATAGCTCCCATATATAGTTTCGTTCGATTTCATGTAAATGGTGCCCCAAAGTCCCTATATATCCTTCGATTTGCACGAAATTTGGCATAACGTACTTAATTGAGCCTAGAATGATGTCTGCCAAGATTCATGAAAATCGGTCCTGATTTAGATATATCTCCCATATATAGTTTCGTCCGATTTAATGTAAATGGTGCCCCAATGTCCCTATAAATCTTTCGATTTGCACGAAATTTGGTACAGCCTAATCACTTAGGTCTAGAATGATGTCTGCCAAGTTTCATGAAAATTGGTCCTGATTTAGATATATCTCCCATATATAGTTTCGTCCGATTTAATGTAAATGGTGCCCCAAAGTCCCTATATATCTTTCGATTTGCACGAAATTTGGCATGACGTATTGAATTGAGCCTATAGCGATGTCTGCCAAGTTTCGTGAAAATCGGTTCAATTTAGATATATATTTTTTCATCCGATTTAATTTAAATAATGTGCCAAAGATCTTATGTTGCATAGCGTACTAAATTTTGTCCAGAATTTTGTGTGCCAAGTTTCGTAGAAATCGGTTGAGATTTAGATATAGCTGATATGACGTAATTGACGCACCAAAAAACCAATATATGGATGATACGAACTAAACGTACCGAAATTAGTATAACTTAACTTGTGACAAGTGTTCAGAAAGTGTTACCAATGTAGGGATTTCTACATTGTATGAATGCAATTCATAAAACTTTACATTTGTAACACTTTCTGAACACTGTTCCTATAATATACGAATTATTTTTTTCTTCTGTAAAATTGCTTTTATTACTGCTTTTTATTTATAAAACACATATTGCATGGCACCCAAAATTGATATGTGTAAATATAAAGCTAAAGAAATAGCCATGGTCACCTCATACAAATGTTCCCTTTGTCACTTTAATGTTCAAAAATATACAACACCTCATCATATATTCGTGATTTATATTAAAAAAACTTCTGTTCTGTACTTCAAATAAACAATAACAGCAATAACAACCACAAAAAAGTTCAACGACAATATGGAAAGAAAAAAACAGCTGTAACACATCATAACAATTCCTTCTGGACCAATGAACCCGAACGACTTTTCAAAACTTAAAACAAAATGACAAATAAAATTAACCAAAAAACAATAAATTAATAAATTTGGTTATAACAACAAACAACAAGAATCGTTCAACAGCAGAATAATTCCAATTTAGTTGGACGACTATGGACAGAAAATATATTAATAAATTATAAAATGGGCTTTAGGCTTTGGCATCAATACAATATTCAGTTATATTGGCCTGTACCAATAAATGGTAATTGTGGATTGAATTTAGTTGTGGGTTGTTTTTTTTTCTTCTTGATGCAGCGGCAACAGGAATAAAAAATAAATAAATTTACACAGCCGTAAATTAATCATTTATTCATAAAGAAATTTATAAAGAACCCACCCACCAACCGACGATAACTAAAACTATTCATATATTCATTTTGAGATTTTCTCAAAATATATATCGTATGGCCATACAGACACTTTATAAAATAATAGCTGTAGTAGGAACTGATGGCTGATGTGGTCCAATATGTGCATATATAATGGTCGCCGATGTTGTGATATGACGGTAGTATTTGCCGATTGTTGTATGGCGAATGGTCATATAAGAGGTGTGACTCAGTTCATTGGGTAGATAGATGGATGGCTGGATGGATGGATGGATTAATGATTTGTTGTTGTTTTTGATTATTTTGTGTTGTGTTTTTGGTGGTCATTGGACTGAATGGCTGTATGCATTTGGTCTTCAGATATGTAATAGGCCAATTGTTATTTAAAATTATACACTAATGTGATGGGGTCAAATTTGGTTTTACACATATTTAGAGATGGTCTTTTTTTGCATTTCGAAAAATTTTCCATTATCGTGAGGTTTATCTAATAATATTCTCTTGCTGTTGTTTGTTTCTCTAATGAGTTTTATTATCTTCTGGATTTTTACAGACTCTATGGATCTCCAATAACATCTCGAACATCACCTAAGCCCCCAGCGATATATATTTGACCCTCCTTACACCATGTGTTCGATATTTCACAATCGTATTAACTATCGCGGTGGTGGTGGCAGTACGGCGAACAGCAGCAACAACAACAGCAGTGCCAATTCCAATTCTCCCGAGAGCCCGCCAACATTAACCAAAGATTTAGATCCGGATAGCAATAACAATGACAATGATAGCAATATAATGTCCCATAAAAGTGAAACTCCATCAGAGGAACGTGACGAAGAACTGAAAAGCTCTCGTACTCCATTGGCCATAAATCAAAATTCTAAAGGTGATAATGATGAAATCCGACAGGTGGTGGATGAGGAAGATGAGACCAGTAATGGACCCACTGACAGGGGAAAAGCCTTCAAAGAAGAAGCTTTGGATCTGTCGGTATTGCCAAATGGTTTGGCCACAAAGGGCCATGTGGCCTTGGAAGCCCTACAACATACCAAAGTAGCAGTGGCTCAATTTGCGGCCACGGCATTGGCCAATACCCAATATTTTGGTGATACTCCCACTCCCGATTTGGCAGCCATCTTGCAGCGGCAACATTTAATGCAATTACAATTTATACAACATTTACAAAGTCAATTGAAACGTAGGGATCGTGAGGGGGAAGATGAAGCGGAAGATATTGAAGATGAGGAGGAAGAAATGAGGGCGGAGGAGGAGGAACAGAGGCGCCAAGAAATCCATGAACAAAGACTTAAGAACATGGCAAACAAAAACGAGAACGGTGATGATGATGATGACGACAATTCTTGTCAAATAGATTTAACCCAATCCACAACAAGAAGAAATTCCTCGGAAGATCTGTTACCACGTGACAAGTCGCCCACAAAACAGGAGGAGAATCTGAACAGCAAGACTGATCAAGAAGAATTTATGAAAAATTCCAAGGACATAGACAAAGTGCAATCACCACCCCATTATCAGCCATTACTGAGCGGCATAAGCTCGTCATTGGCTTCAACTATTATTACCGATCATGATCCCATACCCCCGCCAAGTGAAACCAATTGTTTGGAAATGTTACAGCGTCGGACGGAAGAGGTTCTCGATTCTGCTTCGCAAAGTTTACATGCCTCTCAAATGCAAGATGAATATGAATATCAGCAGAAGGATGGCCAGGGCAGGGGAGAAATTTTCAAACATCGTTGTAAATATTGTGGTAAGATTTTCGGTTCATTTTCTGCCCTGCAAATCCATTTGAGATCCCACACCGGGGAGAGGCCATTTGTGTGTAATGTATGTGGTAGTAAATTCACAACAAAAGGAAATCTGAAGGTGCATTATCAAAGGCATACACAAATATACCCGCCCATTTTAATGCCACCCGGTGTGGGACCACCTCTAGAAATGCCTCCCACAGCAATGAATTCGCCAGCACCAACATCAGCGCCGCAAACACATCCACATCCCCCTCCTCCGCCACCACCACCTGGGCTCTTAGGAATGCCAATTCGTTTGCCACTACCATTTGAGAAAACACAACCTAAGGATACAGCGGAACGGGAACGAACAAAAACTCCAGAAGAAACCAAAGAAGAACACGAAGAGGAATCTAAGGAACAACCTCGAGATTTAACATCCTCAAATTGTAAATCCACAATTGATCATCCTGAAGATCTTAGTAAGCCGCCCAGTCGGGAAGAAGAGCCAAAACCTAAACCTTTGGTGAGAGTGAAAACACCACAAGCTTTAATGGAACCCACAGGAATCGAACAACAGCAACCACTGCCGTTGCCCCAGTTACCACCCCAGCAGTTAACAAACGATAAACCAGAAAGACCCTTAGCATCAATCACACCAAAACGTAACAGCTCTCACAGAAAACGCAACTCCAACAGTTCCACACCACCACAGGAATTTCGAAAAAGTTTCCCCGGCAACAGCATGGACACGGTGGCGGATGAACATCATCTCTCTAAACATTTTCGACGATCTTCTTCGTTAAGTCGCAACAGCAGTTTAGAACATTTAACCGGTGATTTTGGACAAGTTGAAACCTATGTAGATAAATCATGGGAAGATCTAATCGAAATAGATACCACTTCGGAAACCTCGAAGCTACAACAGCTGGTAGATAACATAGAAAATAAACTCACTGATCCCAATCAATGTATATTTTGCCAGAAGGTCATGTCATGTCGAAGTTCCCTGCAAATGCACATTCGTACACACACCGGGGAACGGCCATTTCGTTGTAAAATATGTGGTCGTGCCTTTGCCACCAAAGGAAATCTCAAGGCCCACATGAGCATACACAAAATTAAGCCGCCAATGCGGTCACAATTCAAATGCCCGGTGTGTCATCAGAAATTCTCGAATGGTATTATTTTACAACAACACATACGCATCCACACTATAGACGATGGTTCGGGCGGAGCACCACAAATTCCCGGTGCTTCCAGTGAAATGGCTGCAGCCATTGCTGAACACAATCAACGTATACGTGCCCACATGGAGGCCGCCATATTGGAGGATCAAAATTCCAATAAATCCCTAGGAAACTCTGAGAATTTTGATTTTTCCACAACCTCTGAATATTCTGGTCAACGTTCGGAGTCGTCGCAGGGTGATTTTGATGAATACATGACAATGGAGAGTACAGACGATTCACGGGAAAATACCTCATCTCTTACCCCATTGGATAAACGTCAATTTGAAGATGCCGATGAAAAGAGTGAGGCTGGTGGTGGCGGCGGTAATGACACTATGGAATCTGGAATTTCTCAAGCCATGGATTTAACAGCACGCAATGGCCACTCTCAACTACCGCAAAGAGCTTTAGACCATTTGCCGCATTTGATGGGTATGCCACCGAATATTTGGCTAATGGCTGCCGCACGTGAAGAAATACAAAATCTTGGCAATCAGGGAAAATTTCCATTGTTACCATTTGGACCATTAGGATTTATGGGTGAGTAAATATTTTTACTTTCGTAGTTGAACATAGTTCGTAGTTGAACATAGCACGCATATAAAGATCCAGCAATTTATTTCCGGATTTGTAAGGTGATAAATATTTTATTTTCAGAAAATATTTAATATAGATCCATATTTTGACATAACCCCATATTGGACAGCACAGCTCATTAATTTGACCCGAGGCGAATACTATTTAAATTGATAAAAAATCGTTTCTGATTTAGGTTATAGATATATAGATAATTTCGACCGATTTTCTTTAAAGACGATATTTTATATATGGTATCAAATTGAGTATATCATAACGTGTACTAAGTTTTTATACCCTACACAACTATGTTGTCAGGGTACTATAGCCTTGTGCAGGCCCAAAAGTTTGCAACGCAGCGAAATATTGGTCCCAAACCCAGCTTTAAGTATATCGATCGCAATATATCGACTAGCTGAATCGATCTAGTCATGTGTGCCCGTCCATCTGTAAATTATAATTTGTAAACACGATACAGACCACAGTTATGAACAAATCGTCACGAAATTTTGCATGCAGAATGAGTTCTGACCAAAGAAGATCCCTACTGATTCTGGTAATAATCCGTTAATATATAAAGAAAAAAAGGACCAAAAACTCTGTAATACCCTTCACCACACTGTGGTACAGGGTATTATGTCTTTGTGCATATGTTTGTAACAGGCAAAAGGAAACGAGATAGACACATGGTTCATTTTGAGAATATGCATAGAATCACTTCCTAAGTCGATTTACGCATGTCCGACCGTCTGTCCGTCTGTTGGTGTTAAATTGTAAACAAAATACAGGTCGCATTTATACTCCGATTTGGATGAAATTTAGTACAGCTCATTTGTTTGGCCCAAGGACGAACTCTATTGAAATTGGGGAAAATCGGTTCAGATTTAGATATTGCTCCCATATATAGTTTCGTCCGATTTTACGTAAATGGTGCACCAAAGTCCCTATATATCTTTCGATTTACACGAAATTCAGCACAGCGTACTGAATAAAGTCTAGAATGATGTGTGCAAAGTTTCGTGAAATTCTGTTCAGATTTGGATATAGCTCTCTAAATATCTTTCGATTTTCACGAAATTTGGCATAGCGTACTGAATTGAGTCTAGAATGATGTGTGCTAAGTTTCGTGAAAATCGGTTCAGATTTAGATATAGCTCCCATTTTATGTAAATGGTGCTGTGCGCTGAGTTTCGTGAAAATCGGTTCAGAAAATGATATAGCTCCCATATATATATTTTCGTCCGATTTTATGTAAATGGTGCACCGAAGTCCGTAGATATCGTTCGATTTGCACGAAAATGATAACATATTCAAGTTCGTTCAATTTCATGCGGGTCAATTGGCCTCAGACTTTTGTGGAAAAAATACACAAACTTTATTCTGGACGTATATATTTACTTCTGAAGGACATAGGCCTGAAAGATTAAGGAGTAGTGGCTGTTTATATGATGATCGGTCAATATTCCGAAGGTCAAATCAACCAAAAACTAAAGTGACTAAATTTTTATTTTATAGCGAAAATATTCACCTCGGCACGGAATATTAATCCACAGAATGTTGGTGTTCCGTGGTAGTTCTGTAGGGTATCATATGGTCGGCCCAGTCTGACTATATTGCTCCGCTCACTGATATTGTAGTCGATTCTGATATAGATGTAGCTGCCATATATAGTTCCGTCCGATTTCCAGTATAGGTGCGCCAGCCCAGATGAGGTGTGTTAAGTTTTGTCGCAATCGGGTCTAGAATAATATTTGTTGAAATTGATTTAGATTTAATAAGTTTCCCATGTATATTTTTGGTCGATATCATGGAAATTGTGCCTCAAAAAGATAAAGTTGGTTCGATTAACACGAAACTTCGCATAGCGTTCCGAATTGAGATTTTAATGAAGTCTAACGTTATGTTTGTAAATTTTTAGATACGAAAATTGGGATTAAAGTTTCCCTATCGGCTTAGATTGTGATATAACTCCTTCTACATTTTCGATAGAATTCAGTTTATTGTCGCTCTAATTGACATGCATTTTTCCACATCGCGCTGGACTACATCATACCGAATGGGGGGTAAATCGAGTCAGGTTTACATATAGATCTCCTATATATTTTTGTACGATTTCATATAAATGAAATGAATGGCATGGATGTGGATTGATTCATGTTACTTTATATATATAAGTGTAGATCACATATTTAGTTTGGTCTTGCTTCATAACAAGGTTGCACCAAAGATGCTCGCATGTACACATACAACCGGAATCATTATAAGGGAAATTTTCTCAAGCTTGTTAAAATCCGTATAAATGTAATTGAAGTTTACAAAAAGGATATTAAGAGAACGCATTTAGCATACCCCAAAGTGGGATAGGGTATCATATAGTCGACTTTGGACTTTGGTTAATACAAATATAATTAAAAGCTCGAAAATCCCCCACTGATATTTATATTATGGGTACATATTTCCATAACACATTTGTATGTTATATGATACAATTCTAATGACATTTTTCAATAGTGTCTTGCAAAAGTTCGAAACAATGATTTAAAAAAAATTCCGATTCTATAATATTTGTCTACGCAATTATTTTTTTCGTTCGACAACATCATTAAATCACCAACGTATGATACAATTCGCTAACAATGGTGCCTAGCATTTAATTCAACCCTGCTATTGTTGTTACCAAAACACAAAACAAAGACATTTTGGATGACGAAACTATAGAACGATGAACAAAAAAATCACAGAAGGAAATTGGTATTCCGGCATAAATTTCCATCACTGTCAAAAGATGTTATTTAAAGCGTAATTTCAGTACTTAAATCATGACAACATTGCCTGCCTCAAAGTGTGTAACAAGGCGCAAATAGTGGCGCATAACAGACAAAACATATTGCCATATATGAAGGCATTCACACGCACATACACACGCACCCATGTTAAATATGCGGCAAGTGAATGAGTGAGTGGCACACTCCTCCATTCTTTTTTTGGTGTTCAAGAAATGATATAGCCGTTTTGTCTGTCACCTTTGACCGGCCCAAATCAAAATCACACACAGCCATATACATACGCACAAAAGACAAACGGCAAAAATATATCACCAAAGAAGAAGAATTTATAAATAAAATCACTTAAAGACGAACGACATAATTCAATTGGACCCAAACAACAAAGAATTCTATATTGCTAGAGATAAATTTCAGATGGTGATTCGATATATTAAGTAAATGTAAATGGAGTAAAAAAATACAAAATATCTTCTTTTGTACAGATTTTTTTAAAAATTGAACTAGAAAAATACTCAATTTTTTATATTCTGTACCACGAGATACTAAACAGGAACATGTAAATACGGCTATACTTGCATCAAAATTTAATTAGTTGTTTTTATTCTTTTCAGACGAAATTCAGAAACATAAGTTGTAAAAAATGGGGTTAGTTCATTCAATATTGAAACATTCTACTAATAAATGACAAACATGGCTAAAACGAAAACGAATTTTACTAATTTCAAGAATTTATGCACTTGATTACGTTCCCGATGCATTGTGCAGAAAAGTATCTGTTGGTGGGAGGTTCATACCTCTAGTAACGAAACCATGGTATATACACTGTGATACGGCAAAAGTGTCCCTCATCGAAATATTGATATTAGACCCAATGTTTCTTTGGACTAAATCCTTTTCAGATAATTTCGAGTCGATACAAATGTTCGTCCGTCCGTCTGTCGGGCCGGTTGGAGCGCACGATAACTCTCGACACATCTCAATATTTATTCCAAGCTTAGTTCAAGATGGGACCTATTGGTCTACTTCTTCTGGCACTTCCCCTACAAATGGTCAACATATTCATTATTAATAAATCCAATATTAGGCGAATGTAGGCTCCCCATATATTCTTGATATTCTATATCATTAGCCAAATAAAGGTATAACCTATTATTCGCTATTTACAGGATATTGGATACGTTTCTTAAAGGAATTGACTAGCATTTTTTATACTGAGATAAGATAAAATTATAAATATTGATCCACATCCAGGTATATGAAGGAAATTTGCAGATTTTTTTTATCGCAGATTTTTCTATGCAAATATGTGAGGTATATGGGAAATTAAATCCCCTGAAGCTCAGGTTTGCAAGCTTATAACTCGTGAAATATGAACATATTGCATATAATTCAAATTCATTTGTATGAAATTACGTGTTTTTGTCAAAATTTGGAAGCTGTGATGGTGGTAATGTAAAAATATGGGTGAAAATGTGTTGAAGCCAAAAAGTTTTTTTTTTTTGTTCTTTCCCGATTTGTGGCTAAACAACACAACGCACGCATATGTGATCAGTGACCAAGTTGAAGAATACCCCATGGATTTGATATATGATTTTTCGATATAATCACTGCATCCACCCAAAACGGATGCTGACATTTTGAAGCCGAATTTTCGCATCCAGATAATGGACTAAACTGATTATAGGATTGTAGAACTTGTGATGTTGCTTCGTTTAGTATTGGATTCCAAAGACGAAAATTTGGTGCGTAGGGGAGACTGGGACACCTTCCGAATTTTTTTTTAGAGCTCTATATCTCAGTACTTATTCAACATATATAACAACATTATGGCTGATTATTGTCCTCTGACACTTAATTATAAACAATAGTACCAAAAAGATATAAAAAAGTAGTATTAGTTAAAAAATTTTACAGTTTTGTAAAAAAAGTCAAATTCGCCGAATGTGCCCCAACCCGGGGTAGCTTCGGCATTTGATGGGGCACATTCGGCACCATAGTCATATCCTGGTAATTATCATCGCTATCAGTCTGGTTGAAATTCAGATCCTCTAAAGGCTCTATTTGATTTTAATACGCCACACAATGTTTGAATTATAGGGCTTTATTTTCTAGCGGCGGACGTTTACATCTCAAGGTCGCACACACCATCAGAAATAGGGGTTTTCTATCGCCTTTTCGTCAATACA